AAATATAGGTCTAGCACCATATACCCAATAATTTTAAGGGTTTGGGAAAGGGTCCCTTGTTTATTTTACCTGACCTCTCCATGGTGAGGTTGTCGTTTCCCTTATGTTCTGAAGGTCATGGGTTCGTTTCATAAAAGTGCTGTTTGGTTCATAAGTGTAGTTTTTATAGACATTCCTTGGGATGATAGCTAGAGTTTATGCTTTATGCAACACTCTCGGCAGGCAGGAAGCTTATTTGCAGAGCGACCGAGTCAAAAACAGGACAAAACCCTGTGGAATGAAGTCCCTTCTCTCATCTTAAACATTTATCCTAAAGTGGTCAACCACCCAGAGAGACAGCAGCAGCAGCCAATCTATCAGCCTGCATATTTCCCCTCCCGCATACATACAAAAAGAGATAGAATACAAAGACAACAATACAACACATTGTCTTACTCCTTACAAAAAAAAATAACAAACATGTATGAGTTCAGGAACCAAAACATGTATTTTGTAAAATGCATAAAACATATACAAATAATATTTTACAAACAAAAAAGTCAACATACAATATGGCAAAACAGCCGATCTGTCTTCACAAACACATCAATAAATAGTATGTTAACATATTCTTATTTATGTATCTGAAAGAAAAACATTTTAGTTAGAAAAAGTAAAAAGATAATACATGCAAAGATAAAAACTACAAAATGACACAGCTCAAGCAAAGATATAAATTTTACCAGGTATTCACACAATCTTTGTGCCAAGTAGGTAAATAAAAATTAAACATCTACATTTGTAACAATATGTAAATATGTTTAAGAAATTAAATATACATGTATTTTTAATACTAAACCTACCGTCAGTATCTACAGCTTACTGGTTATGACCATAATGTCATAATTCTGAGACAGTGGGTTTGATTCAGCTGCAAACAGTTGGTTAGCTAACTGCTTTGCATTAATTTCAGCAATGGTATGAGAGGTGACCATTTAGAAGCAATGGTGAACCATCAAACACAAAACCACACATGGCCAACAAATGTGGGGGGTAGGCCTGCCAGATCCTGTCAAAGATAGGAAACAGGACTTTTTGTTTGGTGAAACACTGTATTTATGTGTAGACTGTAACATTTTGATGGACTGCTGTCAGGTTTTTAGGCAGTGGTTTACTGACAATGTATGACAACACAAGACACTGTGTACTAATGTTTTTATTTTTTTATTTGGGGAAAAATGTTTAGTCTGAAACAATTTGTAGGAACAAGTGGGTGATGGGAGGGACATGGGGGGGTGGGGGGAACAAATGAATAAACCACATTTCATCATCATTATCCAGTAATACTGTGTGTCATTTGTCAACACTTGCTGTTTATTGTCTGATCAGCTCCCTCCACTTTTGGCTGATTAACAAATGAGCACCCAGTCCCCCATCTTACATTCAGCCCTTCCAAACACTCACCTTTCATAATGCAACTGCATTTTATCTATACATCATGTTGTGTTTATACTGCAACATACATAACATGAATATTCAGTAACAATACAAAAGCATGGGTGGCAAATAAATACATCAAATATGATACACAGATAAAGACAGAGCAGGGAAGAGAAGATAGACAGAAAAAAAAAGAGGTGAGGGAAGAGACTGAATGTGTACTACATGTTTGATGATGGGTTCTAGTGCAAACAGTACCTGTTACTTCTAAGATAAGCTGAGTATATCTGTAGTTATCCTGAATTTTACATTCCAAAACTGCCACCATGCCCAGGGAATGATGAGGGAATCTATTTACACCTCCTAGTCAACCATCAGATCATTTAACATCTTACATACAAGAATAGCAGTGCTAGCTACAGACAATCCCAATTTGTAAAGGTACTTGTATTTAAATTTCAACATAATGTCAGAATCAGCTTGTTAGAACTTCTAAACATGTTGAAAACTATAGACTGAGGAACACATATGCACACAATTATCACATAGTCAAACAATCAGAAGCACTACAGAGACAAACATGGATACAATTATCACGTAGACAAAACATTCAGAAGTAGTAGAGAGGCAAACATGGACACAACATGTACAGCCAATCAGGAGCACTACAGAGACAAATATGGACACAATCCCAACACAGACAAGCAAATCACGGGCACTAAAGAGAAAAACATTGACACAATCATCACCCAGACAAGCAATCACAGGCCCTAAAGAGACAAACATTGACACAATCATCACTCAGACAAGCAATCATGTACAGTAAAGAGACAAACATTGACACAATCATCACAGATTAGCAATCATGGACACTAAAGAAACAAACATAGACACAATCATCACACAGACAAGCAGTCAGGAGAACTACAGAGACAAACATAGACACAACTATCAGTTTGAGTAAACATAAAGGTAAATATTTGTTGCTTTCCTCGGTTCCACTTAAAAATGAAATCATCTGTAGACAATGAAGCTAATCAGCCTACAGATGAACATGTACTGATAAAATCATGCTTCTAGAGGAGACTTAACATTTCAGTGAACTCTTAGATTTCCGCTTCCATGCATCTAAAACAGGGACTCAAGATTAAAAAAGCAAACATTTCGGTGCAGTAATTTATCAGCAACACACAACTCCTATCTATCTTTGCAATAAATGTTCCACAGATAATCATCAGTTTCACAACTTGAATGTCACTGTCTGAAAACACCATGTGTCTACATTTCTAGTTAAAACAATGACTGGCAATTTATATTTATAATGCACTTTAAAATCAGCAAAACAAAACTGTTGCCAGTTTTTAGCGCACTTACATTTATTTGAAAAGTTAAAATATCATCACGAATTAGACTCTTGCTCTGATGAAAATATAGCATATGATATTTTAAATCTGCAATGTAATACTGTTCTCACAAACAATAAGGAGAAACGGAAATACATATCACATCATGATACAGAATGCAGATTTAAAAAAACAACCAAAAAAAAAAGCCGCCAGATGTTTGCTAGTTAAGTTCAAACTACTGTCCCAGATAATGTTAGTTTAATTCTCTGAACCAGACTTGTTAGCTGTTCTCTTCCTGTCTCACACTGTGATTACGTAGATTCCCTCAGACATATAAACACTGACTGCTGTAATGTAGAACAGGAGAACCTTCCAGTCTTGACTGCCCACAACAACTGGCAAAGTTCAGCAAATGAAATAACAAGGGCCCAGCTACCCCCCCTCCCCCCAGTACAGACTAGGTGACATGAGAATTAGATGTGATCCTTTACTGGGAAGCTCAGATTGTTTGTAATCTAACTTAATCAAAGCCACTGCCAGCCACAAGCCTGGATGAGAAAGAAGAAGGGTTGGGTGTAGGGTCAGCTCCCCCCCCCCCCCCCCCAACCTGCACAAAATTATCTGCTATTGAAACTTGCAGGATACTAATCGGGACGAGACAGAGAAGATGGCATTATATTTACTGGACACATTCTGACAAGAGATGAACAGAGAACAACAGACAGGCAATGACATGGGAAACAGAGGGACTGAGGATGTCCAAAAGAAACCCTCAGATCAACACTAATGACAGAAGCCAAAGATACTGGACTGGATTCAATCCATGACAATGAACTGATAAACAGAACAGAATGAGAAATACACTGCAAGCACTATCTAACATATAATGGCACATCAGGACCATGATTTTAAAATATCTACCTTTAACCTCCACTGGAGATGCTAAACATTTATTGTTGGCAATGTAACAATCTCATCCGTGTTAGTATCTATGGCTACAATATTGTGAACAAAGCTGTATAACTCAGAAATACCCAGGTTAATTCCAGCTGCAGACTACATGGCATTGATTTCGACAATGGTATAGAATGCTAACCCTGCAGAAAGCAATGGCAAACTACTAAGCATAATGCTGCCCAGTAATACCAAATCAGCCAAACAATGCTGGGGTTGGTTCTGCAATATCCTTTAAAGGACAGGCAACTAATCTAGCTTTTTCTTTTGATGTGACAAGACAGAAATGACTGTTAGACAGTGGAGGCCTACTGGATGAACAAAGAGCCTCGTAAAGATCAACTCCAACCCCCAGGGTTCTTGGGCCCTATTTTAGGGGAATAAAGAATAGACCCACTGCCTCCCTAACAAGATGTCATACAAGGCGACCAATGAGGGCAGTTTCCTTCAGAGTGCACTTGCTTGAGAGCTGAGGAACTAACAGTTGGCATACAAATAAGTCACATCCGTAAGACTCAATTTCTGGAACAAGACCAAAGTCCAGAAATGGATGAACAACCACAACTTACCCCCTTAGTTTACAGCCTGTGAACACTAAGAAGAAGATACAACTACAAGAGCTACTTAAAGGGATTCTATTTGATGTTTTAACCGTGACGACATAAACAAGAGTCAATAACACTCATAAGAGTTGACTAATTACTGGGTTTCCTTCAAAGTCGGAGGGCATGTGCCTGAGAGGCAAGAAACCAACAGTCTATACACAAATTAGCCAGATCTGTAAAATGGATGTGCACACAACATTCAAGTTCTGGAATAAGACTAAAGTCAGAAGTGGATGAAAAATCAGAAAGTTCTGCTGGAGTTTAACCCGTGAACATGAAGAAGAGAGGAAAAACCTGCAATTAAAAAAATTTAAAAAAAAAAAACCTAAACAAACTGCAAGCAAAGCTACATGCCAATGACAATTTAAAAAACACAACAACTTTGCAAAAACATTTAAAACCATACAAATCAATGAGTTTGATGCCTGTGAAGTTGATTACAACAAAGCCAGCTGTTGGACAAGTGAACCACTGCATAAATATACAAGAGTGAAAGTGAGTGACATTGTCAACAACACATCATGCATGGCAATGGTTCTATGAGACTGGTCCCCGGTTCAGAACAAAACAACATAAAACAATGCCATCATATTGCAAGCAGGAATCAAACACATAATGCTTTCAACGTAAGTACCCATAAATAGTTGTGGCTAACAATAGAGTCATGACCTCCCATTCAGGTGCATGACATAGATTCTTCCAATAAGGTCAAAGTTGATCTGGCTGCCACCTTGATCTTTTCATCTGCTGGGCTTTCACATAGAGATCTAACCAGGTCAACAATCCCAGATGTGAGAATTTCTTCCTGGAGGTTTCCTAGGGAAAGACAAACATGCAGCCATCAGCACAGATCTTTGATTATTGTACACAGAATTCAGGGGGTTCAATCCATAGCTGAACAGTAGTATTTTCCCATGATCTGCCCGGTGAACTTGGCATTACATTGAAGATATTGCTTCAGGGGTGTGAGGTGTTAGGGTTAATATACCAGGTCATGGTATAATGAAAGTACAGTGACCTTAAAACTAGTAATTGACAAGACAACTAAAGTACAGGACCCATTTTCATGCCTTTATGTGTACTCAGAATTTAGGGATAGATCTATGTTTTATAGACCATTTGGTACTTTAATAGATGTTGAGGTCAGTATCATGCCAGCCACCTTTACTTCCCAGGACTTTTACCTGATACCCATTTAAGGTTTGGTTGACCTGGGAGACAAGGTCATTTCTGGGGGGAAAAAAGGCCAGCACATTCAAAATTTGAACCCACAACCTTCTAATCAGCAGGCCAGCATCTAGCCGCTCCACCATGAAGGACCAAAAAAACCCAACTTTTATTCAGTATTAATTTGAAGAAGCCAGGCACAGCTCAGAGCCGTAATGTTATGAATTCTACCCAGATGACAGCCTTGGTCAGCAAGCACTCTAACAACTACATCATCAACATCTGTGTGACAGAAATGCAAAAATGAGCTTTATGTGAAGTGACAGTACCCTTTGTTAAATAGTCATTTTGTTCCTAAAACCTGTCAGTTGTGCCTTCAAGCTTGTCACTACAGACGAAAGGCTGAATGTGCGATTTTACTAAAAGTTTAGTTGCCTATACTGCATCACAAACTGTCCCATTTGTGGGGGTTTATGCTATGCTATGTGTCTGGTCACTACTGTAACACTTCCCAAACCAACCACATGGTAGAGGGCCAGCACATCTAGTTTCTTCTGTGAAGCCATGCGTCTGAGTGTACTGTGGTGCCAAAACAAAAGGAGACTTTATCCCCACTTGGAAGAGGACGATTAACATTCAAAACAGAAACTGTCATATCATTACTATGCAGCAGGTCATTCACAGAACGCTGCTTCCATCACAGCCTGCCTGAAGGAACCTCAGTCCCTGGCCAGCTCTTCGCCCTCATGTACTTTCCTACCCTTTCCTGCTCTGTGTCCATCTTTTTTGCTGGTCAACCCCTGCCCGTCTTATGAATGAGCCAAACTGTATTCTTTGACGGACAGAAATTGGGCAAGCAGGCCCATCTTATTTCTGTCCTTGCAGACTTTTATCGTTTACCCATTAATTGTATTTTTATCCACATAGCATGTCAATTTTATGTAGCAAAACATATAATATGAGCGTAGGGTGAAAAATAAAGCATGAAAGGCAAATATATACATTTAAAAATAGTTACACGCTTACAAACACACAGAAACTTAGACATACCCAAAATACACATACATACACAGACACAATAAATACACACAAATTTATATAAACACACTCATGCGTACATAAATAGGCATATCTAAATATCAATCTGAGATACACACATTCACTCACATCTCTACATATACACATGCTTACACACACTCACTTAGGCATAAGCCATGTGCTTACTTTTTATGCCAAACACACCTACATATGACTCCACACATGCACATATATAGATGTGTGTGTATATATACACAGACACACATATACACACACACACACACACACATATATATGTATATACACACACACACACACACACATATATATAATATAATATATATATATATATATATATATATATATATAGAATATAATATATATATGTATATATACACACACACACACATACATTCATAAAAACACACACAAAATAGACAAATATATACAAAAAAACACCCATATCATCAGGTGCCTTGCCGACTGGCGTGGACGATCATGCCTCTCTATAATCTGCGATCTCCTGCAGCATGTATCAGTTTGTGTGCCGACACACCTCCATGCCATGCAACAAGACTGTCAAGCATCTTCTCTCGTTGTCTTCCTCTATTTTTCCTTCCACATATCTTTCCAGTGGTCACAACATGTTCTATTTTCCTTCTTCTCATAACATGGCCGAAAAATGATGACTGTCTCCTTCTGATGTCTGTGATGTTGTCTTCGGGCTCCCGCCTCTTTCAAAATGCTCTTTTTGGCTGTCCAAGGTATTCTAAGCATTCTTCTGTAAAACCACATCTACAAGGCCTCCAGAAATTGTTTGGCCTGCCTACCGATTGTCCAGGATTCACAGCCATATGTTAAAACTGGATGTATGTAGCAAGCAAGAATTCTTTTTCTCTTAATGACAAGGATATATTGCAGAAGATGTTTTTCATTTTATAAAATGCAGTTTTTGCCTGTCCTATTCTATTTCTTATCTCAGTTATGCATCTTCCATCTGATGTTATCCATGTGCCCAGATACTTAAATTTCTGTACTTGTCCTAAAATAACACCATCAACTTTTATTACACATTTAGGAATAATTTGTTTCTTTGATACCACCATTACTTCTGTCTTCCCATTATTCAAACTGAGGTCCATTCTTCCACTTTCTAACACCACAATGTCTATCATTTTCTGTAGTTCTTTTTGACTTGTTGCTATCAAGACTGTGTCATCAGCATAACGTAAATTGTTTATATTGTGCCCACCAACCACAATTCTGGGCATACCAATTAAAGCTCTCATTATATATTCACTGTATATTGAAAACAAATCAGGTGACAGTACACATCCTTGTCGTACACCCCTCTTTATGCTTTGAGATGTACCTAAACAGTTGTTAATTCTTGTAGCTGCTGTTTGCTGCCAATACATGTTCTTTATTATTCGTAGATCTTTCCCATCAATGTTTAATTTTTCTAACAGTTTGATTACTTCTTCATGCTTCACTCAGTCAAATGCTTTTGTATAGTCTATGAAGCATATGTACAAATCAGTCTTTACTTCTATAGCTCTTTCTGACAATGTCCTTAGGATGTATATGGCATTGTTTGTACCTTTTCCTTCTACAAATCCACATTGTTCATCGCTGATTTCTGGTTTAATTTTGTTTCTTATTCTTCTCATAATTATTCTCAGTAAAATCTTAGTCATGTGACTCATAAGACTTATTGATATATATACACTAAATCCTACACACACTTGTACATTCACATACTCTACATACATATACACACACTCATACATCCTTATGCATACACACACATTTATACATCCACATACATACACAAAATCATACATACTCATATCTATGCAAACAAATAGCTCATCCCCACATACTTATACATTCCTACAAACACCCATTCCTAGATATACACAATCATTCATACAAATACATACATAAACATGCACACACACACACACACACACACACAAACATACTCATACATAAACATAATACACTCATTCATGTATACACACTCATACCTATACATACACACATACATTCAGACATACTCATACACCCACAAACTAACTTAGACTGACATATTACACACAGTCAAACTCATGTATACATCCATGCATACATACACACACTCATAATACTTACACATTCATAAAACAAAACACACATATACATATGCATACTCATACATAAATCCTTTAGATATTTTATCCAGGCTATGCTCGTGTGCTTGGAAATGAGCAGGCAGATAGAGTGGCCGGTTCTGCACCACTTAGTGGTGAACTGATGTATGGCAAGCTAGATGTTGTGAGGGCCCTTTGGGAATGAGTGAACAGTGTGGAAGGATAATCAAATCATTAGGGTCTGAGAAAAATGGCACTGTGGGGAGTTACTAAGGGATCTGGCCGATGCTCAACACTCGGGGTAAAGGCACGATGAATGTACAATCAGACAGTTACTGGTACCATTGGAATTGGAACTCTTTGCTTGCTGCAGAAGATGGGGTGCTTATGGGAGTGTCCCGAGTGCTATGATGTCGATTCTTAATTCAACACTCAACTCATACATACATATACACACACTCATTTGTACACAATCATACTTACTTATGCCTACACACACTCATACATACACATATGCATTTAACATATATATACAACATACATGTACATCATCAATATAATACACACACACACTCATACATATATACACTTAAACACACTCATAAATACATATCTCATTCATACGCACACACAATCATACATCAACATACAGAGGGAGACAGAAGGTGAAAGACAAGAAGAGAGAGAGAACTGTACATGACATAGGCCCTACACTGCTTTAAATAAAACTAAATAAAAAATGTGTGTGCAAATCCCAGAATGTAACACAACATGCAACAGCTGATACAACAATTCTATAATTAATCATCTCGTCCCCCAAAAAGCCATTTCCCCAACTTCAATGGGTTTTGGTTTTTCTTCTTCTTATGTTATTAGCTTGAAAATAGACTATCTATATCTGCAATGCTGTCTCTAGTATGAACATCACTGTATTTTGTAATTCACTCAGCGACCTATAAAGTTTGGCTTGCACTGGTGTTTCTCTTGGCCATAAGTTTTGCCTTGATATGTTATATGTGATTATATGTAATAAATGACAGAAAACATACACACAAAATGGGGACGAACTATTGTGAGTCTGTTAAAATGCAATGAATAATCGGATAAAGAGTAAGGACCTGCTTGGCCAATGAAGGATATAATGGTGACAAGCATTACATCAAGAGATAAAAGCAACAATGCATACAAAAAAGACACTGCGTGAAGGAATACAGACACATACTATAAAAAGATGAAAATAAGTAAAATGAAAGATGCAGGCCTCAGGCTGACCTGCGACAGCACAAGTATGAGAGTTTACATTTATATGGATTGGGCTTCTATGAATAGACAAGTACCTCACACCTCCTTCCTTTTTTCTTTAAATTATGCATGTTTAGACATTATTATGCTTGAATGTTACTTTTTTACTATAGACTGAAGTCCAGAGGTGAATGAAGAACCAGAACTTTCCGCCTCAGTTTACAGGTGGTGAATGGG